GACAGGAGGCTGTGCTGCTGAGTTTCCATGGGCCTTCCTGGCTTGGGCTAAAGTCATGTTTACTGGTCAGTTCTCTGGTTCAGGAGAAGTTCTAAGCTAGGCTCTATTATAGTGTCAGAAACCAAGACCAGCAGATTGGCTGGGAATCAGGAGACCGAGCTCAGAGTCCTAGCTCTGCTGGCTGATGTTCTAGGTGCCCTGGAGCAAGTCACATCACCATTCTATGACTCAGTTCCTTCATCTGTCAACTAAGGATAATACTTGTCTTGTCCTACTCACAGGACTGTGGTGAAGACAGAGTACTACACGTGAGGTCAGGAAACCAGAGTTCAAATCTTGTCACAGACACTTGTGACCCTGAGCAAATCACTTAACATTTCTTTGCCTCCTTTTTCCCCATCTGTAAAATGAGGATAATAGCACTACCTCCAAGGGCTGTTGTGAGATAAAATCAGAAAGTATTCATAAAGTATTTTGCAGACCTGAAAGTGCTATATCAATGTTAATTATTATTAATGGGGAAAGCATGTTGGAGGATTTGAAGTACTATGCAAATAAATGTAGAATCTTATTATTACTGTTGTGATTTTATGGTTGCAAAATAAACTTCGTTACTCCTGGTCTTTCCCTGCCCAGCCCCACTAGTCACATACAGTTTCCTTGAGGTACTGAGGCTTCCCACACCCTCCCAAGAGGCATGGGCCTGAGAGTATATTTCTAGACAGCTGAAATGCACCTTCCACTTTTCTGCCTCCTCTCCTGCAGCTCATTTGCACAAAAGCAAAGCCAGAGACTCAAGGAAATTCTCTTTTTGGGAGACCCAGGGTCCTAGCAACATAGCAGACATATCTTGTGGAGAAAGAATGTTTAGCTGGAAAGAAGGCTGCACAACGATTTCTGCACATCTGCCCAGATGCCGAGTGTGCATGCTTAGTAATGGGGCGTTGGGGGGGGGGAGGACAGAGAGGAAAGGCCAGGAATAAGACCCAGGTCCTGGGAAGATATGGAGAGTCTAGAGGAGGGAAGCAGCCACAGTGGGAGGAGGGGGCTTGGGACCCTCTCTTCAGACCAGATGTTTGGCTACCACGCCTGAATCTCCCTCTCTTCCTGTAGCCCCAGTGACCAGATTCAGGAGGGTCCATTTTGGTTCATCTGAGCCACACTGCAGCTTCGATGGGGCATGAGGCGGGGGTGTGGGGGAGGCACTGGGCCCTTGGATCTTAAGAAAGACACCGCACATCTTGAACACTTGCCTGGCCTGCCTGAACCTCATCTGGTTCTCATTCAAATGCCCCAACATAATTAAATTCTCAATAACGCAGGCCAAGAATTCAGTAAGATGTGGCTTTTTCCTTTTCTCCCCCTTTCCATTAAGGCTAAGGAATTAAAATGTACCATTGGATAGACAGGCTAGCTTCCTTCCCCCTCCTCCTGCCCTCCCTACCCCGTTCTGCCCTACTGCCACAGAGGTAATAGCCTGGTGGTCCCGAGCCAGTCTTTGGATCCTTAGACTTACCTGAGGATACTGACAGGTGATGGCAGAACAACAATCTTAGCTAGTTGTGAAATTTATGCCTTCTGGGGATACAGGGCAAAAAAGGGTGGGGGTCCTTCCTTGCCTACCAGGCTTTTGCCTGGCTCCCAGATAATAATGCCAATGCAGAAGAGACCTACAGTGCCCTAGTCACCCATGGGTGGAGTTTGCTTCCTGGCATAGCCCATAAATGAATGTTAGCAGCTCTTTGGGATTCAATGATATAGCTTCCATGATTGCTGTGTGAGTGTGAGTGAGTGTGTGTGTGTGTGTGTGTGTGTGTGTGTGTGTGTGTGTGTGATCCTTCCTCGGGGCTACTTTGCCTCATTCTGGTTTCATGATCACTCGACAATTCCCTGAAATTGTGTGCATATTGGGGGGGAGGGACTGAGGACAGAAGGAACTTTATAGGTCATCTAGTTCAGACGTCTCATTTTACAGTTGAAGGAATAGAGGCTCAGGAAGGTTCACTGACTTGCTAAACGTCATACAGCTTATAAAAGTGGTAGAGATGGGGTGGGGGTGGGGGTTGAGGGGGTGACTTTTGTAATGGCAAAGACTGGGTTTTCAGATTCAGGTCAACTGATTCCTAACTGTACACTCAAGAGATGTTACCCTTCCTACAAACAAAGCCAGATATGTGTCAACCAATCTTGGCCCAATTTTTTGGGGAAATCACATAGAGTAATGGAGGAAGTATGAGGAACAAGGAAATGGGTCCAATTACCTCTGGGGTTCTGAGATTCTTCCCCTGTTCCCTCCAAGAATCTCTGATCTTTCTGAATCCCTTGGAGACAAGGCCCCATTTCTGGCCCTCCTCACTCCTGCCTGAGAATGAACCCGAAATTCAGCAAAGCTTTTGGGGATTTTTTCTGCTTTCAGGGAGCTCTAGGACAGCTTCTCTCAAATGGGTAGAGTGAGTTGTCCAAAACCCAAGGCCATGTAGCCCTGGGTGAGTATGAATGGCTTTATTCCTCTTACCTCCTGTTGACTTAGAAGACCATCTTCCTAATCTCTCCTTCCCCTTCTCCCTCCCAGAATCTGCCCTGGTCATGGAGACATCCAACCCAGTGTCTTCTGCTTACAGTTCTATTACTTAGCGATTTATGGCTTGAATGTAATAGGTTCCATTTGACTTCCTCCCCATCTACTTGTCTATTTCTCTTAATGAACGCAGTGCAGGCTTTATGAGGGTTTCTCAATAACTTGGGGTATTTTTCCTTTCAACATAAACAGCCCTTCAGGCTAATGACTTGGAGCTGGTGTGGCTGTTCCTCAGAGACAGAAAGGGGATGGGTGGAGTGGTGGGTGGCTGTGTGCTTTTGTAAAAGGAAACAGTTAACTTGCTGCCCCTTAAAACAGGAGGCCCCCTTTCAACCCTGCCCTCTTTCTCTAACATATGTACAGCTCAGAGCTTCAGCCAAAGGCACCTGTTTGAAATCTGGAGGCTGTCTGCCCAATCATGTCACTCTGTGTGCTGAACCCACAGGTTTCATGTGACATCATCATCATCATCATCATCATCATCATCATCATCATCAACAACATTTATGTAGCACCTTCAAAGTTTATAAAGTGCTTTATATACATTATCTCATCACAACAGCACTTCTGGACAGGCAGAGATTGACTCTGACTCACCACTCACCAGTACAGGGACCTCCCAGGTAAGGAAACTCCCTCCACCAATGCAGGTCAGGCCCTTCTCTGCAACTTAGCATTTCAGGTAGTTATCCAAAGCACTAAAAGGTTGAATGGCTTGTGCAGGTTCACACAGTCAGTCTTTGACAGAGGCTGGACTCAAACCTGGGTCTTCCTGGTTTTGAGGCCACTCTGTCTTTCCAGGTAAGTACCCCCAGTTTGCAGATAAGAAAACTGAAGTTCAGAGAGGTAAAAGTGATTCACCTCAGGATCACACAGCTAGCAAATGTCAGAGATGGGACCTGAACTCATTTCTTCCTGACTCTAGGTCCAGCATTCTTTTTACTAGGCTGTTTGCCTTTAAGTAGACGCGGTTGATTCAGAAAGACACCGGGATATGAGTGACCAAGCTCTGAGTGATAATGTTTTTTGGTTATCTTTTAAAGGTAAATTTTATGAACAGGTTCATAAAGTTTTTGGCCCTTGGATTCAATTTAATATCCTCATGGCATCTGGGTTTTGGCCCATGTGTCTTGGAGGTAAGGGCGGGGTGGGGTATAATGTTAATGAATTTAACTAATAAATAATACAGTAAACAAACTTTCAAGACTTCACTGGGTTTGGACAAGGTCTTGGTAAAAACTAATAAAGGCAGCAAATAGGTTTGCCTCAACCACAGGTCCCTTTCCATGGACTTTCTCTTAAAGGGAACATCCAAGCAGAGCAAACAATGGCTGTGAGACGCCAACCCCACAGCTCAGAGGCCATCTCAGGGGCTCCAGAAGGACTTACAGAGACAGTGAGAGGCTTCCCTGGGCCTGTGCAGAGCAACAGAAAGGGAGCCTGGGGAGCGAGACCAGAGAGAGGGCAGCCCCAGCTTCACTATTCCTGGCCATTAGGATGCTAGTCTAAGACTGTAAACCCACAGAAAAGGGTGGAGGAGGAAATGACAAGCCCCTACAACTTCCAGAGGTGCCCCTGGGACAGCTGATGCTGTGCTGGCTTCTATGCTCGGGGCCCAGACGTGCCGCTGGTGCCGGGGCCCCATTCATTATTCAATCCCGCCGGGTGCAGACCAGCCTTTCCATTTGCTCCTCCAGGAGGAATAACAAATCTAGAAATGCAATTCCACTTTGGTGTATTAAGATATTGATTTGCCTGCTGAGTGGAAGTGCATTTGTCCTCCTGGCCTGTCCCACGGGCTAGAAGGGGTTAACCAAATGTTTATCACAAGGCTAGCTTCAGAGTTGAAAGTAATGTGATCAGTAATGAATTTTGTGTTACATTAGGTTGTATAAATGGACAGACAAGCGCAGACAACAAGTGGCCAGGAGTCGGGGCTAATCTAATGATGTAAAAATAGAGACAGCACCAATTATGCTGGGGGCCAGCTCAGAGCTCCTGCAGGGACTGCAAATGAATAGGTACAAATCCAATTACTCACTAATAGACGCACTACAAGAGGGGCAGTCAATGGTAAGTGCATTAGAGCCTAGTGACCTCCCTGCTCTGCACAACAGAATCCTAAATTTGACTTCCATCTTAAAAGGGGAGGGGGGAGTTCTCAAAGAAATTCTTCCCCCCCCAGCTCCCCCACCAATTTATCTCCAGCTCCTCAATGCCACATCATGTCCATGTGGATGGTGAGAAAGGACTATGTGCCAGCTGCCTGCCCTTCACCCTCCTCCCTCTTCCACCCCAGCTCCAGCCCCCTCCCCCTTGGCTCCTGAAGCACAAGCAGCCAGGGGGCGGTCCCTTGATACCAACGAGAGCCTTTGATTTTGTGCATCTGTCAGACCTGGGTCGAAGGCGGGCGGTTACATACCAAAACATTTCACAGCCATGTGTCTCTCGGGGGTGATGTTTTTAACTGCTACGTCAAGGACTGTGTCTGTATTAAAAATAAAATATTTCTTTAAAGAAAAATGAAAAAAAAAAAGATCTTGGAGACATAAAACAATGTGGGACCAAAACAACACCTTTTCAGACAGTTTATCTGCTTTGGTTTGGCTGTTGGGGACTCCAAGTGGCGCAAGGGGGGAGTGGGGAGGATGATGCAAAACTCAAGTCTTCATGTTTTTTGGAGCCCATTATACCTTTCCCCCAAGAGAAGAACCCAGACCTCAACTCACCCTGAGGTTTTATACCCATTTTTCCATCCTTTCCTCTCAAACTGTCCCTATCCATCCTGGATAGGACGGGAGGACGAGAAGCTGGCAACTAGTCCACCTTGGCCCACTTTGTACCTAGTTTTTGGTTTCTGGCAGCAAGACGACAAATGCCTCATTTGGCAGTGTGTGGTCAGGGCAGGCTAATGGCCAAGATCCCCAGGAAATAAGTCATGGAGTTAAAACCCGCCTGGCAGCACCCCTACAGTATGGTTGGTTGGCTTGCCTGGGAAATTGGGGAATGCTGGTAGAGATTTGCTATGATGCATTAAATGTATCCTTGTTTGGCTCTCAATGACTTGGAGATGAATAAAATATGAAGCCAAAGAGGCTCCAAACCTTTCAAGGGGTCCCTGTCCATTCTCTAACAGTGGCTGGCCTAGGGCAAGCAAGTTGTCATGCGCATGCGAAGATGTGCACCACAGAGAGACTGCCTAGGACCACTCCACCCAAGTCAGGGAGGAGACAGCATGTGCTGAGGCTGACTGGAGATGATGGGAATACTACAGGAGGATGAGCTCACGGGGCACAGAGTGGAAAAAGGCATCCTGAACAAATGGAACAAATAGATGGGTATTCTCCCCAAATTCAATTAAGCATAGAGGGGTGGAATTTGAAAGCTATCAAGCTACGCTAAATAAAATCCATGTGGGGAAAAGTTTGAGGGAGGTTGGTGAGAGCCCAGCAAGACACGCGAGGCCTGGAAGAGCTAGTGGGAGGCGAGCAGTGTTTTTCCTCTAGCAAGACCTCAAAATGTCCCCATGGCTGGGGCCCAGCAAGGCCTGGGGGTGAGGGGCAGGGAGGAGGTAAGAGTGGGAGAAAAAAATCCACAAACTAACCATGGGCTTCAGGCTATCTATCCCTGGATGTGGGTGCCCAGAAAGGCCCACAAAAGATTACGTTAAAGACGTCGAGATTTTGTTTCCTTTCAGCCATTTTAGGGATAGTGATCTACTTTAGTTTCGCAATATGGGCCCTGAGCGTACAGAAGTTCATAAAATTAAAAAAGAAAACATTCTGTTTAGTATGTGTGTAGAAAACCTTCTTTGCGAGTCCAGAGAGAGAAGTCTGTTTGCCTCAAAATTTTGCTCTGAGGATTCTTGAATGTAAAAAAAGAGACCTAACAGAAAGATAGCAAATTTTAACAAGCCATGATCTTAGGTTGATGGAATCTTAAGCCCAAAGACTTGGGCTTGAAAGGGATCCCAGAGGCAATCTAGTCCAAGCCCACCATTTTACACAAGAAGAAACTGAGGCGCAGGAAAATCAAATGATTTGTCCAAGGTCAACCAAATAGAAAGTGGTACAAATGGGATTTGAACTCAGGTTCTCTGATTCCAAATCTAGTGCTCTTTCCACCACTCTCAGCTCTAGAAACACTGAGGCTAGAAGATGTTTGTAAATGGCAAATCTTCAAGGAAAGAAAGAACAGAAAGAAAAGACTTCCCTTTTGTAGTCAATTATTTTTCTAAAAATTTCTACTAAAAATTAATTAATTAAAAAAAGCAAAAATTTCTAGGGCTGGACAAGGTCACTAGCGATTCAATATTTGCCCATTCTCCCTCCACATTCTTGTGGCTGCCCCCCACCCCCTTACCTTGTGCTGGAAAGTCCCTTAAAAATTCATCCGTTCATGCTGGGAACATCGCTAAGAAGTCTAGCCCATCATTAACTAGGACACTGTTTCATCATGAGGGCAACATGACATATGAGGCTCTTCTCTACATGGCTGAGTCATTGCGTACACATGGTCCTTACTCAGCTGGTCCCCAGTTATCGACGAGGGACTCATCAAAGCATATGAAGAAAACTTTACCACCCCAATCAAAAATCCATAGGTTTTTCTAAGGTTTGAAAAGATGTTCTCTTATCCAGTTTGGGGCTTCCAAGGGGGAAAAATAAAAAAGTTAGAAACAGCACAAAATCTGTACCAGTGATTTCTAAGTTTGCTCTTTAAGGTCAATAATAATCTTCCCTATGATATTTTATTTCCTTGCTCCTTTTACCTTCTCTGTGCCATCTGGTGGTCCTGATTTCTTACATTCATACATTCATTCATTCATTCATTCATTCATTCATTCATTCCCAAACATGTACTGAGCACCAACCTATGCTGCTGAATGCTATATGTAGGATATGTGATCCTGCTGGGGAAAGAATCAGAATGTCAGAGATTAGGAGGTAAGGAAATTTAGAAACCATCCAATCCAACTCCCTCATTTTATAAGTGAAGAAATTGTTACATAGAGGTTAAATGACGACCAGGATCACACATTTTCCTTTGTTTCTTGAGGACCTACAAATTCCTTCAAAGGCAAGGAATACATTTATTCTTCCCAAAGACTATGCGCAGCATGTAGGTAAGTAATAGCCCTCTCAAACTGGTTGCACCTCATCAGAAAAAAGCAGACAAGAATCAGCAGGCTGGCCCTTAAAGTAGGAATACCACCAACTGGTCCCTCATGGCTCACTCGGAGGGATGCCATCTTGGAGGCCTCAGGCACTCTTTTTCACTTGTTGGAAGTTCCTCTATTCCAACAGGGCCCTAGACTCTAGAGGAGTCTAGGCTGTTGGATAAGGCTGGTAAATGTCTACATTTTAGGAAGAGCTTGATGGAGCAGAAAGGACTGGTTTTGAAGTCCAAAACTGGGTTTGCATCGGGCCTCTGCTCTTTCCTACCTATGTAAGCCTGGGCAAGTCATGTAAGTTCTCAGGGACTCAATTTTCTCACTTGCAAAGTGAAGAGAATACTGCTTGCTCTACCTACCTTACAGCATTTTTGTTTTTTTTGTGAAGAAAGGCTTTCTAAAGCCAGGAGACAGTAAGCTCTTGAGAGCAGGGATTGCCTTGTTTTTGGACCCAGTACAGTTTGTGCTAAATAAATACCAATAGGGATTCAGGTGTAGAGGAAAGGATTTACCCTCCTTCCTTTTCCCTTTTGCCACCACCCAATCTACTGCTGATGACCCTATACTGGATGAGCTCTGAGAGAAAGAGGCAAGTAGATCCTGAGGTCAGGATCTCATAAAACAGTGGGAACTTTAGCCCCACAGATTCAGGGATATCCCAAGTGGCAGCAACTGAGAAAGAAGGGGAGTTCTGGTGGTTAATGGGTTTCCTGACTAAGGCTAGTTTGTGATCACACATAATAGTTAAGTATGCATCTTGGGTGCTGCCATATGGGAAAAACAAACAAACAAACAAACAAAAAACATCCAGGACTCAGAATGGGCCCATCAATGGCAAAGCTGGGAAGAGGTCAGGAGCTCAGCCAACCTGCTGTCACCAGCTCAAAACTGGTGGTGTTTGCCAAGAGGTCTGAGGGCATCGGAAAAGAAGGTATTCTAGGAGTATCACAAATCAGAGAACATAGCTGAAGAAGCATCAGTTTTCACAAAGAGACCTGTAAGAGCAGGCATCCCTGCCTTGGAGAAAAGTCTGAATTATAGTCAGTTTCAATTGGAATACAGTTTTATCTCTTTCAAGGTTACTCTAACTAACTGCTAACAAAGTATGGCCAAGTAGAGAGGCCCTTTCTGGATCTACTTAATGAATGGATGAAAATCATCTGTGATGACTACATTGATTGCTTTACATGCAAATGGTTGGTCCTAATGTACTTGAAAACAGCTCAGAGTTCAAACAAGCCACCTGGAATCCTGGCTCAACTATTCATTTAATAAGCAAACTGTTCCTTCCTAGAACTTCAACTTCAGCCCAACCTAGATCAGACTATCTTGGATTCCGAACTAGGGGGGTCCCAATTCATAATATTTTGCTGTTCTGAATTTAAAATATGACAGAGCAGATAACATTTTCAGGTTCTCTGAAAGACAAGCTAGGATACATTGGGATCCTTTTTGTGGGGGAATCTCACCTATGGTATTTATTTTCTCAGGTTTCTGTTTTTTTTTTGTTTTGTTTTAAGTTTAAAGCTAAGGTCTGTATGAAGAAACAGCATCTAGCTGAGTGCCTTGCATTTTGGGGGCAATTAATAAGCATTGGTTGACTGAAACTACTGTGTGTCTATACTTAAAGACTGATTAAATCACTCAAAAGGAATAGCCTTTTCAAGAAATGAAAACAATTTGTAAAATTGGCATAGCCAGATTGCAAAATATACAACGTAAATCAGGAGTACCCTTATTACCATTCTGTGCAAAGGAGTGTAGCAAAAAGGGCACCCTTTTGAGGGTGCCCTGTAGACTTATAAAAATGGTGGTGGGGAAATGGAGACTTTTTTTTCCCCATGCTTTTCTGCAAAAGAAAAAGCCACTAGAAGAATCAAAGCCCTGTGTAATAGAATAGAGCTCCCTCGACTTCAGAGAGACTAGTTACTTAATAAGAGCTGAACACCAACTAGCAGTCAGGTGAGGAAGCTAGCAGCACCAAAGGGCTACAAAGCAAAAAGCAACGTGGAGACTTCAAGAATCAGGCTTTTTGACATTATAAATGAGAGAAAAAAGGAAAAAGCTGTAATAAAAAATAAGCTGTTAGAAGTTAGTTAAGCAGTTAAACGAAAGAGCTGAAGTCTAGCTAGAGACAGAAGGTACTTAATGTGTGCTCAGGTATTTGGTTTCTTTAAGTCTACCTCTATAATACAGTTCTTTCTTCAAATCTAACTATGAGAATGAGCAATTAATTTATTGTTATTTTAATAAATATTCCTATTTTTAACAGAAAAAAGCAATGTTGAATGTAAAGTAAGCTAAATTCTCTAGGACTCAACTGGCCAGACTTGGAAGAAGCCAGTTGTACCACACTGCCATGACAATATTTATAATATAGGTAGAGTGCCTAGAAGGAATCAACTAGCCTCTTTAAATCTGCACCTAAAAATCAAACCTATGATATGATGACTAATATTATACTAGTAGAGTCACCAACACCATGGAAAGCCATGCTTCAAAGTACAGTACAAAGAAGCACTATCATTCATTCATTTTTCATCAAATATTTACTATTATGCACCTAAGAGGCACTGTGCTAGTCACTGAAAGGCTATGACTGGTGGATAAAATTAACACGCACCTTATGGGCTATCCATTCCTGAATGCAGCTCTTGACCAATCTTTGAAGAACCATGCTAGATGAGTTATATAAACGTCACTTATATATGAATCCACATAATGATGAGCAACATTGTAATGGGGATATCTGTAGATTAAGGGCTACAAGGACAAAAGCAAATGGAGTTTAGGGTAGTGACTACATCCTTCATTGATACCATTATAAATAGTGTATCAATCCTGATTACTATACAAATTTCCGTGCCAATGATGTCCTAACTGGTAAGGCATTAAAGGAATCTATTTATCTCTGGCCATTAAGTGCATGTCAGAGCCAATCAACCACTTGAGAATGCTGCCTTGTCCATTTGTCCTTCAGACCATCTCAAGAGGTTGTCCTGAGCTTGGGGGTAGGGAAGTGGCTGATATCAGAGGCAAAGAAAGCTTGCTCTGTTTGCCAGCATGGGACACTAAGATTTTTCCTTACTTGCCTAAATGATCCTGGATGCTTTGCTGTCTTCAGGGTGTGAGGGTATATATGGGGCACTTCCCTAGGAAGGCACTACAGCCAAGGAGGGGTAATATTGGGCTCTTACTTCAGGATGAAGGCAGAGCTGCTGAGCTAATAGTCAGTCTGGAGTCTGTGCAAATGCAGAGAGACTGTTAATGATTGTTAACAGTCAGGAAGAAAACAGATTGATGTTATAGCACTCTAACGTTCCATCCTATATACCCTGGGCCATTTTATTTTTCTTTTGAAAAGACAGATAGCAGACATAGTCAATGCTATCCCAACTGAGTCACAATGGGGGGAAGACAGAGGGAGAGAAAATACCATTCTGTTCTACTATAAACCAAAGAATGGTCTCATCTCTTTCATCAGAGGGATAGCAGAATCTTGATTTCTCCCCCCCCTTTTTTTTCTATTTTGTGGACCATATTAAGGCTATGATGATTTGACTGCACCTCATAGCTGTCTGGCACATGGAACACTGCCAACCTCCCTCAAAAAACTCAGCACGACTCCAGTGCCCACCAATCCCTCCACCACACACAACGGAACCCACCGGCATCAGGATAAGGTGCTCTGAGAAGCTGCTGGGGTGGGTGGTAGGAAGAACAGGAGAGCAGACCTTACAAAGGATTATGCTAGTGGTTGTTCTAGCCCAGGAGTTCTCAACTTGAGGGCCATGAACTTGTTTTACAAAATACTGTGATGATTGTATTTCAATAAGATTTTGTTGTTGTTGTTTTTGGTAATCTTTGTGATCTTGTGCATTTTATTTTATGCATTTAAAAACATTATTCTGAGAAAAGGTCCATAGGTTTCACCAGATTACCACAGGGGTCCATGACACAAAAACATTAAGAATCTCTGCTCCATTCCATTTGGACTTGGGAGGTCAGGGAAAGAATCTCATGGAATGAACAATCACTGTGCTCTAGTGATACCTTCAACACAGAATCTTTCTGGATCCTCCCTTTCCCTCTCTCTCCCCAAATCACTTTCTTTATTTTGTCTGTATCTTGTAGTTTGGTATATATTGTGTAGGTATTCATTAGAAGGCATTATGACATAGTGGAGAGAAAGCTGGTCTTGAAGCCAGGAAGATCTGGGTTCAAGTTCTGACACATACTGGCTGTGTGACCCTTGGCACAAGTCATTTAACCTCTCAATACTCTAGGCTACTCTCTAAGACTATCTGTTTGTTTGTTTTTTGTATTTTTGTTTTGTTGTTTTTTTTGTTTTTTTTTTTGGCTAAGCAATGGGGTTAAGTGACTTGCCCAGGGTCACACAGCCAGTAAGTGTTATGCGTCTGAGGCTGGATTTGAACTCAGGTCCTCCTGAATCCAGGGCCGGTGATCTATCCACTGTGCCACCTAGCTGCCCCTCTCTAAGACTATCTGAAAGTGATACCTGACTTGATAAAGGGAGTTTCCTTACCTGGCAGTTCCCTATACCAATAACATCACAGATCCAGTACCTATTCCTATCTTGACGTATGTACATGTTGTCTCCACCATAGATTGGAAACCCCTTGAGGGCAGGATTTATTTTTTGTCTTTGTATCCTCAGCTCCCAGTACAGTACCTGGCACACACACACACACACACACACACAAACAAAACCATAAATTTTTGAATTGAATGACTGATTGACAAAGGGCCAAGACCAGTCTGCAGTGTGTGCAAATGGCTCATAGAAGCTGGGTAAAACATACTAGCTTCTGGAAAAAGGTATAAGGCACTGGAAGGGAGACAGTCTTTGTTAGGCCAGATTCCAAAAGCTGATGCAGTCAAGTCCAGGGAAAAATTGTTCTTCCAGAGGTCCTGGGAAGGAAGTGGGGGAGGGGAAGAAGGAGAGGTGGGGGCCACAAATTATTCATGAGCCAGGGGAAAGTATGGAATGGTAGTAAAAGTACTGGATTTGAATTTAAAGGACTCGGGTTCTAGTTCTAGGAGGAATCAACTAGCCTCTTTAAATCTGTACCTAAAAATCAAACCTATGATATGATGACTAATATTATACTAGTAGAGCCACCAACACCATGGAAAGCCATGCTTCAAAGTACAGTACAAAGAAGCACTATCATTCATTCATTTTTCATCAAATATTTACTATTATGCACCTAAAATCTTAGGAAAAATCTTAGTGTCCCATGCTGGCAACTCCATCATTTATTAACTGTGTGACTCTCTGAATCTCAGTTTCCTCACTTGTTAAAAAGAAATAAAAATCCACCTCCTAGGGCTGCAGGATATTCAAAGTGCCTTGTAAATTTTGAAGGCTCTTCTAAGGATCTTATATCTACAGAAGGCAGTAATGAGTGGCAAAAAAGACAGAAGGTTTGACAGGTAAACCCAAAGACCTGAACAACCTGGTTGCCTCCACAAAGGGAGAGGCTTTCCCAGTACCTTCCAAAAATGTTCCCAATGTCTTTTGATTTTTCTTATTCTGAATTTCACCTCTCTTCCTTCCCCAAGGAAGGCAAACCTTCTATGCAGTTTCTAGGACAAAGGCAACCAGTATCAAGGCACGCTGATAGCCATCATGTAGTCTTTGGGCTTTTAGCCAGAGCACAACCCTCCTGACATCACCTAGGAAAACCAAGAGGGCCTTGTTGCTGTTACTGGTCCATCCTCAGGAAGCAGGTCCCTTCAGAACTAGTTCTAGAGGGCTGCAAAACTACCCACCGGATGGGCAGCTAAGAAGGTGAAGGAATGTACAGAGTAAGCAGCAACCTACAGTTACTTTACAGAAATAGGTACATCTTTTGCTCCTCTAAGTGTGCATGGGAATGTGAGTGTATGTGTGGATTATCAGAGGATTATCACAGAATGTTACAACTAGGAGGGACCTTAAAGGTCACCTCATTTTATAGGTGAGGAAGCAGAAGAAACTGAGACCTAGAGATGTTAAATGACTTGCCCAGGGTCACATAGGGAGAAAGCAGCCAAGTCAGGATTTGAACCCATCCATTCCTCAGCTAGTATTAGTTTTTTAGCAATGGCAGAGCTCAGGTCACAGCGGGTCATCAATCCCAGAAACTTCTATGGAGGCGAGAAAACAAAGAAAAGCAGTATCCTTAAGCAGAGACTCTCAGAGGGGTCTTAATCCCTTTTCTGGCTAACCTACCTAGCCCTGTGATTGCCAGGAATCCAGCTGAGCTCTGGCTGATGATGCATGGCCTGGGTCTCAGGTCCCTACTCTGCCTCTATCTCTTGCAGTCAGGGTCTTGGGAGCTACTGGAGAAACCTGGATTCCCAAGGTCTTCATCTTGGCTCAAGGATCCTGTCCCTCTACAAAGCTGCCAATGTGACTGCCTTCCAGTTTATATTATTATTTTGGTTGTTCCAGGTGGGAGGGGCAGCCTCCTGAGGAACAGCCCTATTTTGGAGGGCTCTGTGTTCATGCCTTCCAAAAAAGGACAACAAGCAGCATTTTAACCAGAGGTTGGGGGCTGGGGTGGGAGATGGGGTGAGGGAGGAATCTGAAAAACCACAAGCTGATCGGGTGTGCATCACTGCCAAAAGCAGACCCTCCAGCCTGCCTTCAGTTTATACCTGTTCCTGATCCCACGACATCCCGGCTTGGAGATTCAGCCATGGCATCAGCCAGCCGTTCCCGGAGGCCCTCTTCTGTGTGTTCAATGGAGGACATGTGGCGGAGGCCAAAGCCTTCTGGCCAACTTCCACATACTTCCAGTAGGGTCACACTCCGATCAAAGGTACCTGTAACACAGAGAGGGAAATCTTGCACTGAATAAAGACACACACAGGGGACACCTCTTCACCTTCCCTCCAGTCCTCTACCCAGAGGCCTCTGGCTCTATTAATAGCAATTATGATATGAAAATTAATGAAAAAAATTAGAACACATTGATGTGGCACTTTCCTCACAACAACCCTGTGAGGTAGGTACCACTATTATCTCCACTTTACAGATGAGGAAACTGAGGCTGAGAGAGATGCAGTGATTTGCCTGGGGTCATATAGCATGTGCCAGACACACAACTTAAGCTCAGGTTTTCCTGATGTTGACTGGCCATCCATCCATTATATCATGTGTTATACATCACAAGATGGTGGTCATAGATCCAGAGAGCATTAGAGATGGAAATAGCCTTTGGCATCATCTAATCCTACCTCTTCATTTAGCAGACAGGAAAACTGAGGCCCCAGATGGGTGATATAACTTGCTCAGTGTCACACAAGGGAGTTAGAAGAGCTGGGAGTAGGACCCAGGTCTTTTGACTCCCAGGCCAATGTACTTTCCATGTCTCCTGGCTGCCTCCCACCCTCTCAGGAATGTGTGGTCAGGGGGCCAGCTCCTGGCAGCTTCATACACCTATGCACACAACTGTTGACACCCTGCTGGAGACACCAGAGATGGAGATGGGTGATAGCATCTCCGGCCAGGCCCCTCAGCATCACTGCTTAATGTGAAGCTGTTCCCCTGTTCCAGAGAGTACATGGTGTTCTGCTGAATGCAAAGATTAGATTTTTGCATCCAAGAACACTTCAAAGTACAAATTAAAATTATTTCAACTTTATTATACAGCAAGTCTTCTGTGAAGGCTTATTTTAAACCATTCCCCCTCGGAATGAGATTACGGTCATGCTCTGTTGCTTTAAGCACATACCATGTCCCCAGCCATTAGGTAACCAGATCCATTGCATTGACTGGGCCTGGTTCCTGCCAGCCCAAGGAAGGTTAAAAAAAAAAAAAGGCAGCAAATGCCAATGTTTCCCAAAGTTAAAAGTACACGAGACACGTCCTCTGTATCAGCTCCTCACTTCTCTCCTTTGATCAGCCTTCAGAAACTATCTCCCCTCAGCCCAGGGGGCTGTGTAGCTTCAATACACACCCTCTGCCAATGACAGGTGGTAATAGAGAGGGTGCAAGCCAGAGCCCCCGGCAAGCGGCCCTGCTTCTGATAACGGCCAAAGTACTGAGGTGATAACCGTTAGTAAACACTCTAGGCAGCCAGCGGCTCCATACATCAGCAAAGAGGGCCAGATAATCCTGAACTTTGGTGGCTGGGACAAAGGCCCCTGGCTACTCGGCCTGCCAGGATTTATACCAGCAGCAAGGGTCACTGTGAGCTCCTGAATTTCATCAGCAAAGGCACCCCTTTGATTTATCTCTTGTCTAACATTGGGGCAGATTCCTGGCACTGAAGGGACAAATGGAGCACACGAGGGGAGACCCCTCTGAAATGAACACCCAAGGTCTTTCCTGGGAGCCAGTGGCTTGAGAATCAGCCTGTCTAGCTGGTGGCTGGGGTATGAAAGGACACAAAGGGGCTCCCCTCCCTTCCATCTCCTGTCTTGTCTAAAGGGACCAGTGTACTCTTGAGTGGGAACTGAATATTGGGTGTTCTTTGTTTAGGCTAAATTGTGCACCCCTCAGGTGACATGGGTCATGCTACCTTTGCATGCCATCGGCTGCCTCTTGTGTATGTGTTGTAGGACAGACAGAAAACACAGGGCAGACACGTAACTAACTATCTTCCCTGAAGTCAAATTCCAAGGCTCCAAAAGTTCAAGGACATAGGTTCAATTCTTGGTCTTGCTATTTACTTGTGTAATTTTGGATGAGTAACTTCATCTTTCTCTTTCTCCATTTGTGAAGTGGTGATAAAATGGCCCCATTTCTCTATTGTTCCTAAGGATATGTGGTGGGTGTAGGAAGAGAATATGTGTCTTAAATGTGGTTCCTTTTGGGAGGTTCTTTCCTTCTAGGAAGTCAGTGTAATAAAGTACAAAAAACAATGATGAGGCCTTGCTCTGTCATTTGCAAATTCTGTGGGTCTTAGTTTCCTCATTTGTAAAATGAGGATAATAATGCTGTCCTACTCATCTCATAAGGCTGTCATAAGAATTCTCTAAGTTAATGTTATGTGGACATGCTTTGAGAATGATAAGTAAGAATTCTGTCTGGCAGAAATTAGATTTAGACTAACACCTCATACCATATACCATAATAAGTTTCAAATGATATATGACCTAAATAAAAAAGGTCATATCACAAACAAATTAGGGGAGGAAATACTTTTTAATAACTATGTATAAGTGAAGAGTTCCTGATCAAAAAGGAAAAGATATTAATATAAAAGATAAGGTATAATACATAACAGAAGTAATCTATTAAATAAAACTGGAAAGCTTCTTTAAAAGTGAGATATAGTTAAATTCAAAGAGAAACATTTGACTGTAGAAAAAAATCCTTGGAGTAAATTTCTCTGATAAATATCTTATATCAAAGATACATAAGAAATTTATACAATATACAAGAATATAGTATGAATATATAAACACAAAAATATTTGTAGATTGCCTAGAGCAATTTCTTGATAGCTAAATGGTCAAAGCATATGAAAACACAATTTTCAAAGGATGAAATTTAAGCTATTAACCCTATAAAAATGCTCCAAATAAATAGGAGAAACGAAAATTAAAATGCCTCCAAGTTTCTACTCCATATCTGAAAAATTAGCAAAGATGACAAGAAAATGGCAATTGCTGGAGGGTTTGTGGGAGGACAGGCACTATTGGTGGAGGTGTCAATTGGTTTAACCATTCTGGAAAATAATTTGGGACTACATTTCCAAAGTCACTAACCAGTGCATTCCCTTTGAACTAGTGATAACAGTACTAACTATATACACCAACAGAGGTCAAAGACAAAGGGAAAGGACCCATATGTACAAAAATGTTTACAGCAGCTCTCTTTGTCACAGCAAAGAGCTGGAATAAAATGGATACTCATTAATCGGGGAGCGGCCAAACAAATTATGAGAAATGAGTGCAATAGAATATTATTGCATCCGAAGAAGGGATGGATTCAGAGAAACCTGGGAGGATTTTTATGTACATTTATGTACATTTTATGTACATTTATGTAGAGTGAAGTAAGCAGAGACAGGAAAACAATTTATACAATGAGTCAATAATGTAAAGAAAAACAACTTTAAATAAACTTGATCAGTGTAATGACCAGTCATGAGGATGAAGCTTTCCACCTCTTGGCAAGAGGTGATTGTTTTAGAGGTACAGAATGAGACATACATTTTCAGACTTGTCCAACAGTTGATTTATTTTGCTTGACTATGCTTATTTGTTACAATAAAGGGCTCAATGGGAGGAGAAAGGGGGGTTGTTGGGTAGTGATAGTGAGGCAAAAAAGAAAAAAAAAGAGAGGCAACGAAACATTTAAAAATGCACCAAAGAGAACAGAGGAAAGTTCAGCAGGGGACACAGTGGGGACAATTTTGTTATTAGTATGCTAAATTTAATAGAGATTTAAAAAAACAAACTTCCTAAGAAGTTTACGGTTTCAGATACAGTCTTCCTTTTCTTTGCATATGGAAGTGTTCATGTTTGTATATTTGAGTTAATAATAATAATAATAATGATAATAAAACCCAATACAACCCCATATAGGGAAGGCGGAAGAGAGTAGGGATTGGTTAATGCCCTTCCAGAGTATCATTCCAGACTCAGAAAGGCCATTAGCAGTTGCTTTGTCTCTTTGGTCTGAAAATTTCCCCTATGACACCCATGCATTCTTGTTTTCCAGGGAGAGAAGCAATCCTAGTGGAAAACAGGAAGCCCCCCTTCCCCATGCACTCCTCTGAGGGTGAGCTCATGGTGGCCGAGGCCCCAGGAGTCCCAGAGTCAGCTCCCTCCAGGCAACGCTCAGTGTGTTTTACGTGGGCAAAAGGCTGAGGAATATCTGCATGACTGCTGGAGCACATAGCAACTCCTACGTGTAGGACTTGCTACCAAAAGCTGGCCAGAGACCTCACCAGAGACTCAGGGCCCCCAACGAATACAAATAACAACTGCTATTTGTAAATTTATAAAGTATAGCACTTTCAAGTTTGGAAAGCACTTTATAGACAAGATCTCATTTGAGCTTCACAATAAGACCTGTAACCAAGGGGAAAGGGAAGGGAATGAAGATGTATATAGTACTGGACCTTGTGCCAAGCACTTTATAAACATCATTGCCATTTGAGCTTCATAACAAGCCTCTGAAGTGTATTCTACTATTACCTCTATTTTTATAGATGAGGAAACTGAGGCAAGAAAAGTTTAAATGATTTGTCCAAGGTCACAAAGTCAATAAGTCTCTGAGGTTGGATTTGAATTCAGGTCTTCCTGACTCCAGGCCCAGTGCATACTATCGGTATTATTATCATTCTTCTTCTTCTTCTTCTTCTTATTGTTTTATGGATGAGGGTACTGGAACTCAGAGAGTTCACAAGATCATGGGAGCATAGATTTAGAGCTTAAAGGGGCCTTAAGAGTTCCTGAAGTCCAACCCCCTCATTTTACATTTTACATTTAACAAAAAGGAAACTGAGGCCCAGAGAGGTTAAGTGACCAAAGTGACTGAAGTCATACAGGCATAAGTGGCAGAGGTGGGATTTGAATCTAGGTTTTCCTGACATCAAGTCCAGTGCTCTTGTCACTACACCACAAATTAGTACACTTCTTACTAATTTCTTTTTTTTTTTAATTTTTAGGCAGTTGGGGTTAAGTGACTTGCCCAGGGTCACACAGCTAGTAAGTGTCAAGTGTTTGGTCTGAGGGCAGATTTGAACTCAGGTCCTCCTGACTTCAGGGTCAGTGTTCTATCCACTGTGCCACCTAGCTGCCCCCACTTTGTACTAATTTCATAAAGACCCTTATTAACTATAAAACCAACTAATATCTGGGCTCCC